AACATAAACCAATCTGTTATTGGGCTTCATTGGATATCTGGAAAAAAACATTTTTAACGTCATTAACTAATGATGTACACCATCCATCATTTTCTCAACAATATTATGAATCTTTCACTCACATAACCTATTTGCAACTGTATCTATTATCATATATATTGTCTTTTTAAATTATCAATATTGTTAGTATTATACTCCTCATTATTCATAATGCTATTTATTAATCATTTATATACTCATCAGTATCAATGCTAATACTCATCAATATCAATACTTTTACCAGTACTTTGTGTATGCACCAATACTGTTATTATTTATATACTCATCAATATCAGTGCTGATAGTCATCAATATCAATACTTTTTCCAGAACTTTTTATGGATCAATACTCTTATAGTCATCTAAATATCTTCATGCAGACATATTATGTCATCACCCCTGTCAGGATGTCTAGTTGTCTATACAGTTACTATTTATGCTCATCATATTATTATTTCTGATCATATGAGTATAACAATATGCTTATCATCATTCTTAACAAATAGTTTGATCATTTATTCTCATCAACTGTAACGACATATGTAATAGTCTGTGTGTGTATATATACATATTGTTACATGATACAAAAAGAATAGGTGCAGTGCATGTAACATAAATTATAACCCGAAGAAACAATAAACAACAAGGGAATGATCAGGTTTACCAAGGTTGCTAGGTACAATTTAGGAAACGTTTGTGTGGCGATTGCAGTGAAACAAGAATTGTTATTATAGATCCAATTTTAGGCCCAAGATAAGGCACTGTGTGTGGTTTTGCTTTGAGAGGTGATATCATGATGTTAATGACTTTATGGTGATTAGGAGCCAGACTCCTGGGGTATTTTAACAAAACAAAAAATGAATTCATTAGTATGAATTTGATATTTAGACAGTTTACTCACTAAAACTATTTAAACCTGCTGAAAGTCATATTTATTGAGATATTTCTGGCAAATTTATGACATCTCACAACCTATTTCTGAGTGGTGATCCCTACTGAGTTGGAATTCATTTTGATATGGATGTCAGATACCTTCAGGCATGGTGCCAACAAGCTTACATCAAGTAGCAAAATATGTTCCACAAAACTCAGAGGAGGTAATTTAAACATTTACTATGCAATTGTACAAATATTGGCTTCAACCTAAGGAGATGTTTCTTCAACTTTCAGTGGTTAAATCTAATTAAGAAATAATTAAAACTTCATGTGTGATCCAAGAATACCAAGCATTGTCAATCTGCCATGTGATTCAAAAATTCTTTTTTAACAAGGTTATCAAAACATGCTATAAACTACTTGGTTTTTTTTCACAAATTTTCTTGAAAAACTCGACAAAGAAGATCATTCAGCTCAAGTAGTCTAAAAAGCTGGCCATTAATGAATGCACAAATCTAAACAACATGGATGATTGCAGCTCTTGTACATTCATTACCATACACCCAACATGGAAAAGAGAATATGGTTTGGAGATTTTTATGATTTTGTTGTTTTTGTTGGTTGATGATCTGAAACTCGGGTTCTTCAGCGATCTACCACATACATGCTATAAATGTGGAAAATTTCTGGCACAATCATTCTAAGTGACAATTTATGTAGCCAAAAGCAACAGAATGAATTCTTGTTAGTGTTTTAAGACAAAAACAGAGGAAAGAAAACTAAAGTTTGTTTGGATATCCGAGACCACACAGAATGTCTCATGATAGCAGACGCGAATCTCACTCTTCCTGTGTATTCCATTTATTGTCATCACTTTGTTTCTTAAATAAATAGTTTACCATCAGAAAAATTTAATAGATATATATTAATGTCAGTTTTGACAGAGCAATGTCAATTTATGATAATATTTAAATATTTGTGAGTTTTGAAAAAGGTTATGTAATTTTAAATGCATATGTAGGGTGTGCAATAGAAAAAAGATAACTGCTCTGATTACAAGTACCATTGATAGCAATATAACAGATGATGATAAAAACCTGCTACAAAAGATTTCAATATTTTGAGGAAATGTAATTGCAAGACATCTTAACAATCATTTTTATGTGTTTATTTAAATGGGATTTTTTAGTACCATGGCAATAAGGAAAACATTAGAATTCGGGGGCATGTTCAAAATGTTGCGAGAGTGTGCTCTATTTTGAGGTGCACACCTCCATTTTGAAACTGCTTTATCCATATTTGAAAAAAAAAATGCTGGCATGTTTCCGCTGCAGAGAGAAAGGGCATTCACAAATGCATGTACTCTAACGTAAACCAGCTGAACTATTCTGACAGGTATGGTCATTCAATGTTCAGAGTATATCCTACTTAAAACCCTCAAATGGCTTAAGTCATAAACCAACCCCTTTCAAACAGCCATGATACATGTAAGCCAGCTTAGAAAAAAAAGCCATCTTGAAGACAGATAGAGATCTGGGGCTTTTAAACTGGTTTATTTTCCCCACCATTACATTCTGACGACAAAGTTAAGCTAGCTTAACTATATACCATGTTTTTAAACCAGCTTTTAAAACAACATATTATTCGTGAATGGAATATTATGATCAGTGGAAGAATTAAGTTATTGTGTGCTTTAGATTAATGATAATATTGAGAAGGACATCTGGTAGCAGTAATTTCATTACATATTGAGAATTAGCACACTAGATTGGAACTTGATATTTGGGAAAAAATTCAGCATATCCACATTAGCCCATTTGGAGCTGAAAAGTAGGATGTAAAGACCCATTTCAATTCTTTCATTCATTAACAATGACTTTAACAGTTTAATTCTAGTTAAACATTTTATATTTAGCAATGGACTTCGCAATAGCTAGTAGACCTCTTGGATATTGGATAATATTGTCAATTTAAATTGGATATTCTGTGTTGAGTCGTTTTGTGTGGAGAGAATCCATCCGAAAATATGTACATGTAGATAGTTGAGATATAAACGAAGGTGTGTTCCACTGTCGGCATAGTAAACCAAACTCTTAATCTTTTGAAATCAAAAATTTTATTGCATAAAGTTTACTCCATTATTAATCGAAATAACACAACAAAGGAACCCAATTCAATACATTATTTAACTTACGTAAAAGAGGTTTAACAGGTTTAGTTCTTTTAAAATAATATCACTAACATTAATTGTAAAACGTAATGTAGAAATTCAATGTTTATCTGCTGCTTTATGAACCACTATATAATGAAGATTTAGAACAAGACAGTAATTTATCAGTATTTTGTTAGCAGTAACTTACAGGTATAAGTTTTAAAACAGTTGTACAATACATGCTTTGGTGTTATATATCCCTGTGTTTAATTCCTGTAGGAGAAACTGACAAGATTACTTTGGCAAATACAAGAACATTCCAGATAGGATTCTTTACAACATTACCAGATCTATGGCAGTATTCTACACTTAACCAGAGTAGTTGTATTATATACAGGAGAGCTGAGTGTAAAAATACTATGTCTGCCAAAAAGTTTGGTGAAGGGTCTTGGCCAAATAAATCAGCATTGCATGGCAGATTGTCTAACACCTGCGATAAAGGTTGAAACTAGAGACTGTGGGTTTAAAATGCTTATTTCTACCTGTGTAAGTCATAGCTGGGTGGGGTTCACGTATCAGCATTTCCCTAATATTGATTTTAAAAATCATCCATTCAATTATCGTGTATCCCCATATCTCTTCATTGATTGGACTATTGTATGCTTGAGCCGAGGTCGACAAGGTATCATACCACTAATTGGGGGATCTGTTTGGTTACAAGTAATTACCCTATTTACAAGCAGGTATTTGTCAGCACAACGATCATCATTTTTCACCTGTTCACCCTCTAAATGTTTACCTATCCACTTGTGTGAAAGTTGACACCTTGCTACATTTTTTGACAATTTGATAATAGTGAATTTCACATATGAGACATGTTTACATTTGAAACACATTTTCAGATAACACTGTGATGTGCTTCATTTATACCTTGTTATTTACTGACTGATTTTACGCAAAGATCTAACCTTAGATTATTTGATACGTTTATTCATCCAGTGCAACTTGTGTATGACAAACATTTTGGATTGCTTTTTGATGAAAAAGTGATAAAGTTTTAAACTTTAATAAATAAGTTGATTTAAATAAGAGATAATAAATTAGATAATGAAATTTGGTTGAAATAGATGCCATTTTTTTGACTTAAATGGTTTGTTTTTTACACAAACAAAAGGTAACTCTTGCATATCAATCCTCTGTGTACATTGACTTGATTAGACCACCTAGTAGCTGTTTTCAAATAGGGTGTTCCACAAATAGACATAGCATTAACACCGATTGTTGAGGATGCCATATTAGGACCTTATTTGAGCTCTTTATGTAGTTAGATCCTTTCAAAAAAATTTATATTGTTAACTTTATTTGAAATTATTCAGCCCATTTCGAGTTTTGTTGTGTAAAGAAAGAACGTTCTGTAATTTTAGTTTGATATTTAACTTGTCAAAAATACATTGATCTATATTTCATTTGAACACATAGATGGTCTAAAGTTTGGGCTTTGGATCCTAAGGTCTGCCATTGAGTTAAGAACCATGGTTTCTATTCTCAGCTTGTATGTGACAGAAGCACTTGAGTATTCTCCAGGTCCTCTGGTTTCCTCCCACTGCTAAAAATCCCTACACATAAGCAAATTATTTAATATAGAATCGAACCATGGTAGTCCTGAAATGACCATTTTGTGTTGAGCGGACATGAAAGCCCATTTCTCTCTATACATGTATTTCTCTCACCATATTAATCACCATTTCTGCTAATTGTCATAACAGTATAATTTTTGCGATATAATTTTTAATCGGGTTATTTTTTTGCGATAACCATTTCTAATGTGACAATGATCAATTCCGACAGGCTTTTGATGATTTGAGTATCCAGGTAGAATATAGACAGGTTATGTTTTTCCTTGTTTACTAAACATGTTTTCTCTCTTTTGCAGAAGGTGGAAGGTTAGAAAAAGAATTAGAATATACAAGAAAAACAATAGGAGAAGGAAGTGGGACATCCAATGAAATTATTATACAAATGCCAAAGAAAGGAACTAATATATTAACAAAAGAATCTTTATTGACACATTTAGATGCTGTAATAGCAGCCACAAAAATAAGGGTTGTAGTTGATGGCCAGTAAGTATAATTTATATTTCTTCTCTTGTTTTCTCTTTCTATCTTTCAATAACATTTTCAAAAAATAAATTTCACTTAAGATGGTTTATATCCAGAAATCTGTTAGACTCATAGGTCTCTCACTCTGCATTATTCAGTGCCATCCATTGATGACATAAATTGACATCCCCAGTAATCTACATGCACACACCCCACTTCCCACAAGAACATCATCTATTGACCATCATGTACATCATCCATTAACGAACATGCATTAACCAATATTTACATCATTCAGTGACCTCTGTTCACATCATCCAACATAAACGTTGTAAATGTACATCATCCAGTAACTTCTATTCGCATCACCCAACATAAACATCATACATGTACATCATACAGTAACCTAAATCACATCATCCAACATAAATATCATGCATGCACATCATCCAGTAACCTAAACCACATCACCCATTTACACCAAATAGATATATCATTCATTGACCTACATGTACTGCTTAATCTTTTCAGAACATGGACATTTTCTGATCTGTGTTATGCTGCCAGCTTCCAAACCACTGAAAATAATTTTTTTGATTGGGTAAGTTCTTTGTAGATGGTCTTCGTTCTTGATCAAATGTGACCAGCTTTGGCTAAATGAACACATCAGTCAAAATCAAAAAATCAAAACACCTGTATGCATTTCTTATTTGGCAATTGACATAGTAATAAACACAAAAACATAATATGGAACTGCATTAATTTGAATTCTGTATTCAGGAACCTTTAAGCTGGTGTTTATTACAGTGTGTTCAAACTTTAAAACTAGATATGATGAAAACTAAAAAAACGTTTTACTTTATTTGTGTTGTATCTCAAATAAGGTTCCTGCAACATGTGTCTCATTTAGCCACAAATGGTGCTGAATTTTAAATTGGTAAGCCCTTATTAGTAAAGGAGAAAGTAATTAGAACAACCAGAAAAAGTATAAGAGCAAAATATATACTAGGCTACTATATTTAAGTATTACAACCCACAAAATGAGCCTGATCCTCCTCTTGTGCCTGAGTAAAATGTGAACTTTTATAAAGCAGCAAGGTTTAAGAAGACAATCGTTATCCTTAATGTCCCCCACCTTTCGAAGAAAGCAGGGGACTATTAAAATGGGTCTGTCTGTCTGTCCGTCACACTTTTTCGGATACAATAACATTCCTTCTAATTGTGCTTAGAATGTTCAAACTTGGTGTAGGTGTTTATTAGGTGAATGTATTGATGGAGTTCAAAGGTGAGCATTTTCTGCTTAGGGTAAGCAGAGATAAGCAATTTGATTGGTTGATGCTTTGCGACACGATAACTGTAGTTCTAATTAAGTGAGAGTGATAAAACTTGGTGCATAGTTTCATTATCCTGACTATGTTCGATAATGAGCATTTTCTGCTAAGGGTAAGTAGTGCGAACACAATAACTTTCCTTTGAAGTGAGGTAGAATGTTCAAACTTGGTGGTGTAGGTATTCATTAGGTGAATGCCTTAATGGAGTTCGAAGATGAACATTTTCTGACCAGGGTAAGCAGAGATAAGCAATTTGATTGGTTGATGCTTTGGGACAAGATAACTTTGGTTCTAATTAAGTGAGTGATGAAACTTGGTGCATAGTTTCATCTCATCAATACTTTGACGAAGTTTGATAATGAGCATTTTCAGCACAGGGTAAGCAGAGCGTATGATTGGTTGAGGCTTTGGAGCTTGACAATTTTGATTCTAATGGAGTGATTGGTCAAGACTTTGGAACATAACAGCTCTGCTTTTAATTGAGGTATGGATGTTCCTTAGGCGAATGTCTTGACTAAGTTCAATGATTAATACTTCCCGCTAAATCAGGACAAGATAACTTTGATTCTAACTGATGGAGAGTGATGAAACTTAGTGTATAGTTTCACTACCAGGTACTTCAAAACCTGACTGAGTTTGATCGTGAACATTTTATGCATAGAGTAAGCTTAGATAATCAGTTTGATTACTCGATACTTTTGAAAAAGATAAATGAACAATTAATTAATATGTGTCATCTGTTTATTTTGGATTTCAGCAGGGGACATCAGCCTCGCTGTTGGCTTGTTTAAATTTAACATAAATAAGTGAAGTATTCTATAGATTATAGTTATATTAAGACAATATAAACTAAAAAGCTGTGTTAGATACAATGTTGATCTTGATATTTGTTTATAGAAATGAGTTGTTCTGCAGGTGTTAACAGATGTCTGTTAAGCCTAGGACAGACGGGCGTATTTTTGCGCCCAATAGCGTTGATTCTTAAAATCACTAAAAAAAATCGCCTATGTGCCCATTCGCAGTGATGGCGATCTCAAAATGGCTAATCCATTAGTCACATGATCGACGTAATTTACTCGCTCTTGGGATGATAGCTACGTGTGCCTGTTCGTAAGAAAAATCACTGGCGCATTTTAATCCGCGCGATCAGGGAAAAATACACTCGTCTGTCCTAGGCTTACTTCAAAAACGTAGCTGCATGAAGTCAATAGAAAGTAGTATGAACATCAGATGGCTATTACATTATGATTGATCAATTTTAACCATTTTTAGCCATTATGTCATTGGTCATCATTTTATGGAATATATATTTTGCTTTACAGATGTTAGAGAGAATATTACCATGCATTGTGATTTCTCCGTTAGATTGTTTTTGGGAAGGGTCAAAAATTTTAGGACCTGAAGATCCTCTTAGTACTGGAGGGTGAGTAAACAGTTCTGTTTTGATTCAACTTATTATTGTGTGATTATTTACATGTCACTATATTCAGTGTGTAAGCTGACATAGATATACTTACTACAATATTGTGATGTTTAACTGCTTGTCAGTGTTAGGAATTTTTGCTATAACAGATTCATAGTTTGTTTTATATTTAGTAAAATAACTGATTAAATTTAATAAGAAGTAGGATGTTTTGGGGATTTTTTTCTGTGCTTTTATAAAGAAAATAAAACCAAAACCAACCTAGTCATAGCAGACAGTTGATCATTATGTTAAAAATACAAAATACCTATTGTAGAAAATTTATCATAAAATATACTGTTAGACCTATATATACTCAATCTTACTTATTTTTATTTGAGAAAACATAACAATAGAAAACCTGACTGGACGTACCCATTGCACCTGATTGTAGTATGTAAGTCTATAATACACAATAAAATAGACCCATACCGTAAATAATAGAAAACAATACTGGAGAAAATTTTATTCATATTTTTAGAATTAATCGGAAAATGGATTTTAAATACTTAATGTTTACATAAACAAAAGCCATAGTACCGCATTTAAGTAAAACAAGATTTAAAATGGTAAACCAAGTTAAAAAGTGTCACGATTTATTTTTGTTTTAAATTAATACCTTTTCTTTTTGGTTGGCTAAACATTAATGTGGATATTATTGAGCACTTTTCAAGAATAACATTGAGTGTGTATTAAATATCACTGTCCTAATTCTCACTTTCCTGATAATAAAACTGGTCAGAAATTATTTTCTTTATGGTCAAGATCAAATTTCAGTAGATTTACGGTATTAAATATCTGTGGAGTGGTCATATAAGAATCTTTGTATGCGGTTGTGGACAGACATAGAGATATCTATATGAGGGAGAGGGCCACCCACAAAGACATCCAATATCACCAGACACCTGGTAAATTCAACACTAGATACCCTTAATGTATTGAAAAGTATCCAGTAGCATACTGATACAGCTTTCAAAATAATTGGCAAGTTAGTGCCATTTCTTGGCCTGTATGTACAAATGTACATTGCCAGCCCAAATAATACTAGAGAAAACATAGAACTTGAAGCATATTGTATGTATTGAAAGAATGTCGATGATAATGTTAATAGCCTTTTAATGGTCAGTTTTATGGGACGGTTTCTTTAAGGAAATAAAATGAATGAAATTAATATTGTGAATTGTATATTGTCAATATAAAGTGTTGAATTGGGTTATTCTGATGTGTTACTTCAATTAGTGATGCAGCAGGCTCTACAAGATAAAAAAAGAATTTCCAAATATTAAACAGAAATTAGATTGTTTACTAACTTTAGTTTCAGTTTTGGCTTTATGGAGCACAAAATCCATTATATTTCAACATTGGCTCTTTTAATATTTTAAATATAGACAAAATAAATCAAGGCACCAAGGTTTTTTTTTCTTTAGCCACATCAAAGTTGTTTAGTCTACTGGAATCGGCTTTTAATTATAGCAAAGCGATCTTGAATGAGAAACATTATTTATCAGTTGGTGGGTCACTTTATGATATCCGATTGTCTGTGAAATCTTAATTACTGCTTTGACACAATACATAGCCCTACAGTTGAGGTGAATATTATACATGTAAGGATAAAAAAAAGTCAACAATTTATATTTTGTTTATTTGTAAGAACCTGTACTATCTAAATTTAATCATCTGTCTAAAATAGATTATAATCTGTCTACTTGGGTGATTCTAATCAGTTTGTGTGTGTGTTCAGACAACCAGCCGGCAGTGTACATGATAGTACATAGAAGCTTGTAATCAAACTGACGGGGAGGTCCTGCCAATGAAATCCTCTAGATCTCAGTTTTGTTTGACAGTTCATCCTCAATTTAATTGTGTCTTTGATACTCCAACTTATTAAATAAGATACCAGTGTATTAAGTATGTGAGTAATATTTTGATAGAAATAGAAATGTTGAAGTATGTTTAGGTATGGATCAGCTAGGATCATGAGTAATAATCATATAAACACACTGTATTCTTCGCCATCTAGCATATAATGTTTTAGAGTTCAGTCAGTGAAGATTGAGAGGTTTTACAAATATTATTAATATCAATTAAAAAGTGTTCAAAAGAATAAGGGAATTTGACCATAAAAAAGAGAATAATGATCAAAAATAGAATATGAAATTAATTTGAAATTTTTACTAAGTTACTTTATTATGTGGTACAGAATTTCACAGTAATTTATAAAATAAAATGGCAGTCTGGATGATAACATTAGCCTCTATAGCTTTAACAAGATTTTGTAAAGAGATCAAGCTCAATAACACATTTCAATGTAGGCGTATGAACAGTAAGCAGAGAAATGAAAAGGTATCAGTACCACAAATCTCTCTGTATTTATGCTACAGGATTACTATGTAGTGGATTGATACAATTAAATTTTCAACACTGCTAGTCACATATAGAATATGCTGCATATTTTATCTAAAATGAATTCATCAACATTTGACAATAGCATGATGGAGAATATATATATAGTGTATATAGTTACAGTACATACAACTTTGACGTGCTTCAATAACCCTTTCTCATCATCTTGGGTGGCCTTAATCTTGTAAGTAGGTAGATTGAAATTCATCCCTTGTATAATTAAATAACATTAAATCTCTTATTTTGGTCATGGCCTGGAGATATTAAAATGGGTATATATCTACTTATAATATAATACGTAATTAAGCTTTGTGATTCAACAGCTTATTTATGACTTGGAGTTGGAATAAACACATACCCAAATGAATTTTAAACTAAATTGCTAGTTCAAGAGAAATACGGCAGGTCTGGTAATGAAAGCAGAGTAAGAATTTAATACTAGGCTACTGATACTAGAGAATTTTTCTTTTGTTAATAAAGTCTTGGATTCACATTTGTGGTCGTGACTATGCTTTCTCTTATATACTTGAGAAAGCCTGTAAGGTGAGCTGTCAGAAAAAAGTAGTGGAAAGTTTACCAAATCTATAAACACAATCCTGTTTTGTTTATTAGAAAGAAGACGTCTGCTCTTAGATAAAGGAGAGATGGTAGATCTGAGAAAGTAATTCAAAAATCCTGGCATTCTGGAAACAGTTTGAAACTGATTACATAGAGCCTAATTACTTACTGACAATCATTGTCAACATGATGTTCGCTCCTTGCTTCAATATAATACATATTTCTACCCTAATTTACCCATTTACATTCATCTACACAGAATTTTGGCAAAATATGACTGGAAAATACATGTAGGTCTTGAATGTTTTAAATTTCTGGTTTATCTTAAAAGTCTTTTGGCTTGAACAGAAATTGTTTAACATGAAAAAATCTTTCACTGTTTCTGGTTTAAAGCTTTTAGCCAGGAAGAATTTCGATTGTTTGAATAAAAAAGGTTTGGCATTAGCAAAGCATGACATTTTTTTTTATACTTATCAAAGTTTCATACAAACACATAAGCCTATCAGATGGGGGAATCTTGGGGAGTTGTATACTTTCTACCCTCACCACAAAATTCATTAAGAGGTTTGGTATTCAAGTAATTATTCAAACCAGGTTTTATTGGAGCATAACAACTTTGATTCTACCAAGACATGACCTATTTTTATACGCCCACATTGAAATGTGGTCGTATATTGTCGTCGCCCCCGTCCGTCCGTCCGTCCGTCGGTCCGGCGTCCACAATTGCTTGTGGACGCTCTAGAGGCTAAAGTTAATATCCTATTGACTTTAAATTTATATACAGTGTTTAAGGCCATGAGACGAAGAAGCCTATTGATTTTCAGCGATTTCCGATAATTACTGCCAGAGTTATGGCCCTTGATCACTTCAAAAAATCTTGTGGACGCTCTAGAGGCCACAGTCAATATCCGATTGACTTTAAATTTATGCACAGTGTTTAAGGTCATGAGACGAAGAAGCCTATTGATTTTCGGCAATTTCCGATAATTACTGCCAGAGTTATGGCCCTTGATCACTTCAAAAAATCTTTGAACGCTCTAGAGGCCAAAGTTAATATCCGATTGACTTTAAATTTATACACAGTGTTTAAGGTCATGAGACGAAGAAGCCTATTGATTTTCAGAGATTTCTGATTATTACTGCCAGAGTTATGGCCCTTGATCACTTCAAAAAATCTTGTGGACGCTCTAGAGGCCAAACTTAATATCTGATTGACTTTAATTTTATTCACAGTGTTTAAGGTCATGAGACGAAGAAGCCTATTGATTTTCAGCGATTTCCAATAATTACTGCCAGAGTTATGGCCCTTGATCACTTCAAAGAATCTTGTGGACGCTCTAGAGGCAAAAGTTAATATCCGATTGACTTTAAATTTATACACAGTGTTTAAGGTCATGAGACGAAGAAGCCTATTGATTTTCAGCGATTTCTGATAATTACTGCCAGAGTTATGGCTCTTGATCACTTCAAAAAAATCTTGTTGACTCTCTAGAGGCCAAAATTATTATATCCGTTTACCTTGTGGATGCTCTAAAGGCTAAGGTTAATATCTGATTGACTTTAAATTTATACACAGTGTTTGAGGTCACGAGGTGAATAATCCTATTGATTTTCAAAGATTTCTGATAATTACTGCCAAAGTTATGGCCCTTGATCACTTTGAAAAATCTTGTGGACGCTCTAGAGGCCAAAGTTAATATCCGATTGACTTCAGATTGATACACAGAGTTTAAGATCTTAAGACGAACAAGTATATTGATTTTCAATGAATTTTTATGACTTGGAACAGCTAAATCCATGATACAGTATTAAAAGTTTTGTATACAAAACGTTAGCATGGGGCAGAACTTTATAAAAACTAAACTAATTCTAATGGTTTTCTGAGTTGTTGCTCTTAATCAGATTTTAGTGTATTATAAATGTTTCATTACCGAAAAAAAGTAAAAATATGCGACAACTCTTGTTGACTGTCCGGACGATTTAGCTGCTGTGGGCGTATGTTTCGTTGCCTGGCAACCTATCTTTAATATTCGTGAATTGTTAAATTATAAAAGTTGGAGCTCACAATAAATTTTACATATTATAGACATATATTTTGAAAAGAAGAAGAAATATATTTGGTATTGTGAGTCATCCCGCAGGGTCTAATATCACTTTACTGTTTCCTTTTCTCTTTTTCTGTTCAACTGACCTACTCGGAATGTAGAGTATTTTTTTTTCAACAAGGGGCTTCTGGAGCTCACATTTTTAAAGAGAAAGATTTTGGAAGCCTGTCATTTTTTCCTCCAATGTATTTCTTCCTGTAACATTAAATATATGTAAACCTTATTCAAATATTTTAGTAAAGTCAACAAAATTCTGTTTTGTATTTTCATGGTTATTTTTCGTTTTGTTATCCTTTCATGGTTTATTTTATCATGTTATGCTTGTCTTGTTGTATGCATCAGAAAAGTTATTGTTACATAAAACTGTGAAGTAGCAATTGTTAACCATTTTGTAACTCCAAAAATAATCATTTGAATGAGAGTTTGTATAACAATTGAAAATTGTGTGCACAAATTTTAGATGATTTTTAAGGTGCACATTGGTACAAATGGAATGGTGGCAGAAGATGTGTTAATTTATACACATAATAATTTCTCATATTTTATTCTCAGATTTGCAGGTATTCCTGATGATTTAACATGGATGAACCTGAATCCCCAAAAATTAATCCAAAATCTCCCAGATGCTTTCCCTGTAGAATATATGAATGAATCTTTTAAAAGGGTAAGTTCAACTTTATTAATGATGAACTAGTGTTATCGAATTTATTAGTAAAGGAGCCAAGCCTCTTTGATTTGGGTCAAAATTTAGTACTGGATTGCTTTGATATATTATTTCGATTATTGATAGAGAAAGTTCTATAAATTTCAATGAAAGGTGACCTGTTTTACTAATTTTGGAACCTAAAATCAGTTTTATCTCAAGACTTAACTTTACCATTAAAAGTACTAATAATTTTCAATGAAGGCACTTTAGTTCACAAATCTGAATTTTTTAAAATGGGTTATACATATATAGGACTAGATAAAACAATTAAACAAAAAAAGCTTTGTATTATTAACAATTTAAACCACTAGTCTACTTGGCTCCTGTTGGAATTTTAATTACAAATGTCAGTTACTTATTTATAATATTTATAAAAAAAAATACCTCAGATAATGAGTTCAAAAGGTTATTCAAATGATTAAATTATGAAACATTTCATATCTACATGTCTATTAAATGATAATTAGTCATGTCCAATTATATATGTTCTTTGTTTTAATTGTCAAGGATTTTTTTTGTACTTTGCAGGCAGGCATTACAACAGCTTATCAAAAGAAATATTGTCTGGACCCATCAGATCCAGATTGTCCCATCACTGCACCAAATAAACACTCAGGAGAGGTATGTGTGATTTTTATTAAGGATTTCCTCATTCAGTCTATTTACTTATTTAAATATATTGTATAAGATTATTTGGTCATTTGTTTTACATGGCACATCTTATTTATTAGCTCAAGTTGAAAATTAGACAATTTTGACCTATATTTTGTGGATATAAGATTGCCTGAGTTTTCTCTGAGTTATCTGTTTTATCCAATGGCATGTAAATGATTAAACTTAGGAAATGAAGAATAGCAGATGTTAGTCCCAAATTTACCTAGATGGTTTGAATGTCTAATAAGCCCCATTTCTCTTTGGCGTATGATGTTTTATCCAATGGCATGTAAATGATTAAACTTAGGAAATGAAGAATAGCAGATGTTAGTCCCAAATTTACCTAGATGGTTTGAATGTCTAATAAGCTCCATTTCTCTTTGGCGTATGGAAGCCTGGTTTGTGAAAGAAGGCTGTAAGTGGTTGCCATACAGGATAATTTGGATAATTGAGAGTGTTTTAGTAGTACTCTAGACCATTCAGTTACACTAGAATTTCCATTAAAATAGAGCTAATTGTGTAGATGTGTGTAACTTACCATCTCACTCATGACTTATGAGGGTTAGTGTGTGGTGAAGGTGGCCAGAAATGATATGTGTGTGTTCTGACAGATAGTTATCTTCGTCTTGTAATGTACTACACCATGTTGTTCCACCCTGCTAGAAAAATAAGCACTGGCAAAAGAAAATAGATATTTTCTAGTATTTCTCTGTCTATTATAGAAGTCTGAGAAGTTCAAATTCGTAAATTATTGAAATCCAATGACAGTTTCAAGTATGTTTGGACTGACTCCTAAATCTGTTTAGATTTCGGTAGTCAGCAAAATAAAACACAGCCCAAAATAATGTGTTGAATAAGTGGGATATGTATCTGTTGAAAGGCCTATTGGGAAAGGAACTAACAAAGGCTTTCACCTGCTGATAATGAGTATTTTCTTTACGTGAGGTGCGCTCAGAAACACTAACCTGTGTGTGTGTTTTCTCACTGGTGTATGATAGGAGGGCTCGGTCTAACCTTCAGCCAGTGTAAGGTGTTCAGTCTTGAGAATAAACACCTACTAACGATGCCTATTGTGCTGTACTAAAGGCAATTGTTTACCTGCATGCTTTTCGTACACCGACCCCCTCATTTCATCTGAAAACTTTTTTGTATTAAGACGGTGTCAAGTCTTGCAATTTGTGCACAAAAAGTTTTTGAAATTCTCTTTTTTGAATCTAACCTCCAAATTCAACAAGGTATTTGATAAGAAGCTTGATGTAGACTGTGTAACAAATTGTATCAAGTTGCAACTAAACCACTAGTTGTCATAAAAAATGTATGACATATGGCTGTCAAGTTTTGTAATTCAAATATCAAAAGAACTTCTTCTTATACAATGTTATTATATGAAAACTCATTAGTAATAAATTGAGGATTTTTTTGGTAGGTAAATGATATAAAAGCTTCTAAATGCTCAAAACCATGAATAGCACAGATTTAAATAAAAAATAAATTAAAGAATCATTGTAGAAGAACGACAAATATCAAATGTTTGGTAAATATCCTTAACGTGTGTGCAGACGCATAACTTAAATTTGCATTAAAATTGAATGAAATATTTCACATGTTCTGATATCTAAATGAGAGAGAGAGAGAGAGAGAGAGAGAGAGAGAGACTGTTGCAATAAAAACTAAGAATTTTTTATAGTGTTTTATAAATGATATCTTGTGTAAATATCTGCTAAAGACAGTGGACAAACACTACATGTATATAATGTTAAAAACTGCAATCAGACCATATGACATTTGTCCGAATTTCAGTTTCTCTTGTGAAGTGTGAATTAGACAATGGCATACAACTGTTAACATAGTGTAGTTTAATTCAGACCTACCCTAGAGAAACACAGAGCGCGACATGTAGGTCTACTGTACATATAAAGAAAACGACATGTTTGTCCAATCCAAACCTCTGCACATTTTACACATATGCCTTTTAAACACAGAAAAAAACTGTTTATTTACTTTGAAATATTCAAGAAATTTGAGAAAAAAGTTCCTATCCCGCTCGGAGAATGTGTTTCACACACTTAATCATAATATTATTTCATTTAGGCGAAGCTGCATTTTAGATTTAGGTGTATCACTTTGAGATACCACACTGAAAAGGATTAACTGAGAATAATATTAACCAATTTACAAACTATTAACTTTGACCAATGTTGACATAAAGTTTCAGGTTTCAGAATTCTTTTCATTTTGACACTGAACTCAAAAAAGTATGGAGATGTGATGAATTGTCTTCACCAGAAAAAAAGAGACATCTTTGTAATCGAAGTCTCTATAATGTTTTACTTATCCAAATTTGAGAGGAAGGCCATTTTGAAGACAATTTTTTCTTTAATTTTGATTTATTCTATACTTTATCATGACCTGATATATATATTTTGTAGATTCCTGATGTAGCTGCAGTTTTAACCAATGGTTGCAATGGGTTTGCTACCAAGTATATGCATTGGGATGAAGATCTTATTGTTGGCGGTGTCCGTAAAAACAAAACTGGACATATTGTAGGGTAGGTGATAATTTCTAAATACTTAATTTTATATAAACTCTAAGGAGTAGGCTACACTTTCCTTGCAGGAATATATTCCACTTAAAAAGTCATTATGTTTTTTACTCAAATCTGAAACGACTTGTTTTCATTAAAATAATATTTCTTTTTTCCCCAGGGCTGAAGCAGTACAATCTATTGTACAGTTAATGGGAGAAAAAGGTTTATATGAATATCATCAAGATACTACCAAAGTTCAAAGTATCAGATGGAGTCGAGCTAAAGCCAAAGAAATTTTAGAAACTTGGCAAAGAAATTTTTCACAGGTAAAAATAAAAAAAAGATATTTGTAAATGAAAAATGGAAGTTTTTGATTTTTTTAAAAAGAATTCATTCAATTGCATCATGTATTGAAAAAGTCGAAAATATTAAAGAAAACCTTAAAGAATGGGCTGGAGCAGAATTATTAAAAACTTATCTAAGACACATTAAGATGGTGGTGTGCAAGTGCAATCAATAGAATGTGAACTTAAGGTTAAATTAGAACTGGTTGAATTGAATAACTTTGCATCAAAATGTGTTTATTTAATAAAAGCGTTTTTGATTGTGTGTCACGTTAAACTTTATTTTGAACCTTTATCTGACATAATGAGGCTTTATTTTACGAGATTTTTTTTCTTTCAGATTATCAATAAATTTGGGAATGATTCTTTTCAAGATAATATATACGCCTTCTCCTACACCTCATTACTTGATATTATTAAAGATTTCTCTAGTATTAGTGTGGTGCGTGTTGTTATGGGATATGTTCTTATGGTAAGTTATTTCCTTATATATGCTTTGTATTGTATTTCTTGAAAAACAATCTTAGTCATATTAGAATATTTTAAAAAGAATTAGATACAATGTACATTTATTTGGAACTATTCACAAGAATTATGAACTCTGTGTGTGTGTCATGTTTTGGGATTTATTTTCAAATTAGCACATAAAATAACAAGATTTTAAACTTGAATTTGTTTTATTTCAGTTTGTTTATGCTCTATTATCATTATTAAAATGGAACGATGCTGTCAATTCGCAGAGTGGTATTGGAATGGCAGGAGTGTTGTTAGTATCATTATCTGTGGCAGCAGGTTTAGGTATCTGTTCTGTTCTAAATATCAAATTCAATGCTTCAACAACACAGGTAGGTTTGTCTATAATTTCCATCTGACTTTTTCTGTTTTTTTGCTTCCATTTGGGTTGAGGGTTTGTCGAATGTTTCCATCTCAGTCTGGGGTTGCTCATTGTTTTCTTCTGGGATTGTCAGTCTTCCATTGAGTATATTATCCATCCCAGTTTTGTGTTGGTTGTTGATTGTATTTAGTCGGTTTGGGGTTCATCAGCGTTTCCTGTAGTATTTTGTTTTCTTCCTAGTTTGTGGGGTTGATTATTTTCATCAGGGTTTCAATTTGATCATTCTTTCCATCAAGGTATCTTGTGAATTCATTAAAAAAAAAAGAATTTGAAAGAGGCCCCTTAACATGACAACCGAATAAAAGTAATATATAATTGTAACAAAAAGCAGATCCATACAATTATTTTTAATTATTTCTTTTCCAGATTATTCCTTTCTTGGCTCTGGGTCTTGGAGTGGATGACATGTTTCTTATTGCTCATACATATGCTGAGCATGCCAAGGATATTCCCTTTCCTGTAAGTAAACGAGAATTTTTTGTACTGATGTTTATATTACTTGCGTGTGTCTTGCTTTGATCGCAACAGACATTGACAAATGATCGGAATATGCTCACAGGGATTCTAAGTTTTTGAAGAGCAAAGTTGTAGACTAGCTAATACCAACACGTATGAGAATATGTATTTAGGTTGCATCTGTTATTAGTGGATTACATGTGCTGTTATGATTCTCCAGTTCTTTGCTTTATATCTCCAATTCCCAGTTGTTCTGCCAGTATCAAACATTAGATTTATTCATTCATGATTTTGCGATTCTTGAAATTTTCTTCTAAATTCCGATGTGATAAGAACTGTGGTAAAACGAATATATTTGATTTTATACTTATCATACTGGGTGGCCGAGTCTATGTAAGAAGCCTTAAGATGTTTTGCGAGAAAAAATTACCTGTGTGATGATTATCACTACTGCATAAAACTGTAATGAAACAGAGCTAAAATTTTACGCATACAAATCATTTGAAAGTTGGGAGATAAAACATATTTGTCTACATGTGCACGTAAATTAATACTTTGTACAACATAGAGAAATTATTTGATAGCAAAGCTGTTCATAGCATGTGTGATTGTGTTGATAGTAAAATTAGCCATAATGGCTTCAGCATTTCAAAACATGGTCGTTACAGACTTCAAATATATCTCGTCCTATGTTTGATGTACCAAAGGAAATCCATGATAAACATCACAAGGTCTATTTATTTCCCTCCGTTTTATCTCTGATTATTAACTTTGGCCTTTGCCTAGGATGTTAACAACAATACACATGTTATTAGTAGGTAATATGGTCGCTAGGCTGACTACGAATTAGGATAGTGCTACAAGAGTAATTCTATGCTGTATTTTCTGCTTGGAATGAAGACAATCGCTTGTATCTGCTAGACTACTTTAGCGAACAGGTTTTATACTTGCTACTATAATCGTATTAATTGACACTGGGGATAGCAAAGTTAGACAGTAAAAAACAGCTACTCATGACTTTTTCTGGTGGTATGACTCGGCATGGGGTGGACATTTTAGCAAATGTAGACATAAGCAACATGTAGGTGTAATTTTCTGATTTTTCCCAGCTAGATCTTTTTTTAACATTAGGTACAACGTACTCAGAAAATCTGACACAACAATTAGTCTCATTACTTTCAGAACATTATCCAAGCTGGGCGTATTAATGCCACACGTTTCATGCCGTCTGTTCTCTGTAAAAGGTTTCCTGACAGTATGTGTTATAAAAATGTGCATATTTCATATTGCCATAAGAAACCAATTGTTCTTTTATTTATCAGGGGAAAAAAACTTGTTTTGCTTGGCCTGAAGTTTTCAGTATTTGAATAGCAGGTCCTAACAAGCAGAATATAAGGATTTTGGTTGAGCCTCACCTTTAAGTCAGAACTGCAGGAAGTGAATACAAGAGCCACTTAAAATTTCTTTTATTTGAACATGTTGGTATTGTCTTTAGATTCGGGTTACCATACTATTTAGGTGCTATGTGTTTTTGTCATAAATATTTCAAATTGGAACTGACTGTTTTTGAGTTAAGAAAACAACCCAAAATATAGATATCGCATTTCATGGGATTTTGTTATGAAAGGAAAATAAATGCCAGTGAGCCTAACTTTAAAAAGTCAAGGACTTCACTAACTGAATTATTTCAGATTTTTGTATATTTATTTACTGAGTTCATAGCATTTTGGGGGCCATATTTCTTCATGAATGTCAATTTGGTTTGTATTGAAATCATATTAACGAGACAATCTATTGACACCAACTATTGTTTACAGAAGTAGAAAATATTTGCATTTTTGTCCTGGATACAGTTGATCTATCTGATAATCTATTTGTGGATTGAAGTTGTTACCTCACATCAGCTTTTGAAATATTTGTTCTTCAGTGAAGAGGTGTGTTAAATCTTGGTTGGCTTCTCCAATATTACAAGTTAAGAATTTAAGATCATGCATGTAAATTTGATTTTCATTCGGGATGTTTTTTGTGGTGTGTATTTAAAGGAGATTTGTCAATCTGTCACGGTGACATAAGGGAGCCCTTGAGTTAAGGTAGAGAAAAGTTTGATAAATATGGTATGTCCTAGTAAGTGTTTATATTGCACTTAAAACCAGGTTAGACTTTGATAAATCACATACTCTTCAAGCTTTTAATGGCCAGGGCTTGTTTTATCACAAATAGCCTTGTCTCATCTGATTGACCTAAATCAACCAATCAGAAGAAAACTAACATATCTTCTTGGGTGGGCTTAATTCCTCTTTCTGAGATACGTATGCTATGCCATGCAAATTACTGGTTAAAGGGTGTAGGTTTTGTTTATAGATGTGATTAAGACAATTATGGTAGATCTTGTCAGTTCCCTCTAGGAAAACTTAACATGTCTGATACTTTTAGTAAAAACATGTTTGAGTAATTATGGAGTGCTTGAAGGGTAAATATCTGTTGATTTTGGAGGAAAGCAAGTAATAGACTGATTATTTTGTATCTACATGATCTTAGAAGATACCCTGTCGATGTAGCTACACATATGTAGAGATTTGTTTTTGAGAAAATAATCGGCACAATCTGTTGTGTTTCTTGGTGCCTAAATAGAGGTACAGAGGGTTAATTATAATGAACTTACATGGTTCTGTGTAGGTGTTTGAAACCTCTTAAACAAAATGAAATACCACACACACAAAATATATTACCAACTTAAGATAAACACTTACAGCGAATTGAGCTTTACAACTTTTAATTAGCTAATAAAAAATATTTTGGCAAGAAAATTATGGTAGAGTGCTTAACTAGTTCTTGCTATTATCAGATTTTCAATATAGATTTAAGAATTCTATTTTGATGGGATATTTATGTCTGTGTGTATATTGCCTAACTGCCTTTGACTATGTAACGTAACGAAGGGTTTTATGTTGTCAATGGAAGGAAAGAGAGTACATAAAAGAACTAGGAAAAATAATGATAACAGCATCTCTCTTTGCCTTCGAGCTATAAAACTAGCTTCTAAAATGGCTTACAGCCGGCTGTAACCAGGGTGGTATATTTGATTGCTAAACCATGTGCCTGGATGCCAAATTTTAGGTTTCCTGTTTATGTTAGTCAAGTCTTGGGGTATGGAGGGGTTTTAATTGTTGGCAAATGAAGCTCTTATCAATATGAGTATACAGCTTTAAAGTTAGTCGCCCATTATACCATCAGTTATAGCCTGAGGCGCCATTGCTAAAGGCCAGTTCATGGTACTTAAAAAGATTTCTTTGAAAATTTGACAGACTTTAAGGGCCAGCTTGACCAGGGCACTCGGCTCTTGTGACTTTTAAGAAACAACATTGACCATACATGTATAATGGACAACACACTCACTTGACAGAAGAGGGCAAATAGTATTTGCTTATTTATTAGAAATTTCACCTGTCTATCATTAAAGCTGTTATCAATAAAGTTATAACAGATCGCAAATGGCTGATGAAAATTTGAAATGTTTCACATTATTGACATTGTAAATGTTTTATTAAAGAGGTTACCATATTCATGAAGTACATTTTAGAATGAAATAATATTTAATCGATCTAATTCATGTCTTTCAAAGTATCATTGACATATGTTATTCTCTCTATATATTGCTTACACAGGATTTGTAAGTTAATCTATTTTAATATACCATTAATTTATATTTCACTCTTTTCATATAAACTTAATATTTTTTCTAGATAGTTATTTTAATGCATTTTTTTTTATTTCTTTTTTTGATATTTTTATTTTGGCCATTGTTGTTAATTTTTTTTTTTTATTTATTTTCAAATATAATTTATTTTGCAATACACGTTTTGTGCTGGTTTCATGTTTAATTTCTATAAACATTATTACCTTTATGACCATTAGATTAAAAAATATGAAAACTATTTTTCACCTCATTATGGAAATCTGAATATATTCTGTAAGCCAAGGATTAATATTAGTATTTTATTCATGCTAAATAGGACAATATCATGTTAATTTCCTCTCACAGTTTCTTTGTCTTTTAGAATTTATGATTTGCAGTGATTTTTCAATTCTATTTTATAGTACCAAACCGGAGAATGTTTAAAAAGAACTGGAGTTACAGTTTTACTAACGTCACTTAGTAATATGTTAGCATTCTTTACAGCTGCCATCATACCTATACCAGCTTTACGTGCATTTTCCTTACAAGTAAGTCAAATGATTTGAACAATGTGGCAACTAATATGCTTACCTGCAATTAATGATTATTGATACCATAGTAATAGCATTTCACTGGTAATTTGACACATTTAAGAGATAACTAGAAAGTAAATTGCCATGTTAAACTCATTAATCTTTTACAAATTGGCATTTTTCCTCCTTGGGGTAGATTATTTTGAATTAATAGTCTTGAAAAAAAGTGTTGAAGGAGGATGAAAAAGAATATTTTGTTTGTCATAGTCACTGACTTACTATAAACAATCAGCAGGATTAAGCATAAATTTGAACTCCACTGGAAGCAGACGTCATTGTATAATGAGGATGAGTTATTCAAAATTCCATGACGTCTGACAGCTGAATTCCTTCCCCCTCCCATTTTAATTGTAAATGTTCGAATAAATCATAAACTGTTATTTATGGTGAAGAATTCGTAGAGAAAGAAGTGGGTACTAAATTTGTGGTCGGCTAGGTTAGATCATCTAATGTATTCTTTTTAATATATGAAGGATCACAGCAGGTACCTGCTTCCTTAGAGAGAAATGGCCCACAAAATATAATGATGAATGGGTCTTTTATACTAGTTCACTTCACACAATAATATTACTATTACTTACTTATATTACACAGTGGTTCTTATTAAAGGTTAAATCAGATGACCCCTTTTAGTTTAAAAAAGGTATTAGTGATACATGTTTGTCATTCACATGAGAAAATATGGAAGAATATTTTTAATATTGGTAATTCAAATGACACAATAAAACGTATCTTAAAGTAGCTTTAAAAAAAATATATGTATGACCCCATCATAAAATTGTCTTTTCTAGTAGTCCACTGCAAACTACAGTACTAAAGGTATTAAGTGGTTTAAAAAGTACTTATAGCGAAAATATTATACAATTTAAAGGCATAAAGAATAAGATGCAAAAACAAACCAAGTAGACTTCTATTAATTTGCTCCCTTGTGGGTAGGGCATATGTACAATCACACTGATCAGCAGTGAATATTTGCTAGGCCGCTACAATCACTGATAAGGATGACATCAATGTGACTTAATGAGTCTCAAATATTAACTTTTTTCCACCGACAAATTAAATTCTAAAACATTTTTTTATAAAAATAAATAAAGACATTTGACGTATTTGTAGGTAAAATTTATTTCCTATTTAGTGTAAATGGGTATTAAAATGACGAAAAAGGCAGCATTCTGCCTGAAACAATAACGTCGTATGTAAACAATGCACGCGCCATTGAGCCAATGATTGACGCCGCATGCTGTGAAGGCAGTCATCTTTTACAGAGATATTAGAAGACTTTTGTAATTCTCTGTGAAACAGATTGATGTACAATTTCAAATAATATATGGTAATAGTTCTAATTATACGTAATTTAAATCGGTTTCTGTGTGGAGTTTAAGTAATAAAAAGTAATTTGTAAAAATGCCCACCTTTATTTCTAAGATGAAAACATGTAGAACAAAATTAAGACTGGTCTAAAATTACATATTTTGAAAAGACTGAGTTGTGTATAGTTCAAATGTGTCATTGTAATGGGCGTTAGACCACCATGTTTATTTTATATATTAAATATAGTACAGGTTGGTCATTTTATTAATGGTATAATTATGTGCCAACAAGGTGTCAAAAAACTTTAAAAGACTTTTCATAGAAATATTTTTCTGAGTAGGTTCTTGAATAGACGCATACTTTTGTAAGATATTTGACAGCTTGAAATCCACTGTGGTATATTAGTTACATACAGTTACAAAATAAAAACTAAAAGATTTCAGTCTAGTTTAATTAATTGTATGAAATAGAAATATATGATTAGATCTTTTGTTAATATCATACAAGTATTTTGTACTAATCATATCACATGTAGGTTATAACTTCCCTAATTTGTACCTATTTCTTTTAAAATAAATTGTAAAACAAATTCCTGATTTGTCTTTTATCATAAGAAAAATTTCCAGTGTCATAAATCGTTCATGTCTACATAATACCTACCTACACTTCAAAACTTGGTGAATTTTGAAAAGGAACCATATCAAATTATCTGATTGACACCATTTTATTGTGTCTATGCTATGGACATGTTTGTTTTATACTTGTAAATTTAAAAAAGATATTTGGATTGGTTAAATTTTCAAGCCCTCTCATTTAACTTTCTTTCTATTTTAGGCAGCCCTCTTGGTATTTTTCAACATGGGTTCAGTACTACTTATATTTCCTGCCATTGTTAGTTTAGATCTTGTCAGAAGAGAAGACAAGAGATTAGATGTTTTATGTTGTTTTCAAAGGTACAGTATATTACAAACACATCACAAATTTTAAAGCAGATATTTTAATAGTTTCCCTGTCAAGTAAAATGAGTTTAGGAATTCTACTCACTAGTACCTACTCTTGTCTCGGGTTGCTCTGATCATCACTTTAGATTTTGTGCCGTTATTATAAATTATGATGTGTTGTCTAATCCATTGATAAGTTTACTAACCCTGCCTTACTATTATGTGTTGTCTAGTTCATTGATAAGTTTGCCCCTGCCTTACTATTATGTGTTGTCTTTTTCATTGACAAGTTTACACCTGGCTTACTAATAATATGATGTGTTGTCTATTTCATTGACAAGTTTAACTTTTCCTTACTAACACTTGTACTGAGTAGCATGACAGATTTCATTTTCATAAATATATCTGTAATTTAAAAAAACTGATGACAAATCAGAACTGTGGGTCAAATTTGAAGATACATGGTGCATAAGATAATAAATTTCATTATCTTCTTTGATTGACATTTAGTAATTGAATATATTAACACAAGGTATAATTTTATGGATACACAATTACTGAGTTTAATACTAAGTGACGTTTGGACGAGGATACTCCGTCTTTATCAAGCTAATGATACAGGTATGTGAATAGTAGGCAAATACATACAGCATATGCAACAAAAATAACAATCAAATACAATTAAATCTTAACACCTTTGATCATTGATTAGGGGGCCATTTACACCTAAACCTACACCACGGAAATTAAAAAGCGGGGGGGGGGGGGGATCCTATTATTTATAAGGATCAGTGTATTAACACTATTAATGGGAAACCAATATAGGAGTATGAGTGAACAAGAGAGATCGCTGATGCAAGGGGAATACCTGTATCATTTGCTTGATACAGACGGAAGTATCCTTGTGGAAACACAGTAATTTCTTATCCATAAAATTGTACCTTGTGTTAAATTTCATTATGTATGACAAATTGCATGTTCTTGGATTTGTTTTCCTATGTTGTTTTAGTATGCACCTATTGAAATGTTGAAACAAACTTTTCATGTATGCCAACACATTGCCAATATGCCAGTATATATTCATAGAATGATGACACACATGATAAATAATACCATATTCTATTTACAGCTTTGGCGCCACAGAAGTTATAGAACTCCAACCTCGTACATGTGATGTGGAGGAAGATATGGAACAAGGTCGACCTCCATGTTACAGCCCACCACCAAGTTACAATGCTGCTGTTTTGCATGACACTGTGGCACGTTCATCAGCAGACGGCTCTCATGCAATTACAGAACTGGCTTCAAATGAAGGAAACTTTGTAGTGAGAAATCCTAATGCAGCAACAGGTTGTCCATCAACAACGTCTTCTCGTCAATGTTTGACGCCAGAAGAAAGTGTTACATGTAAAGAAAGATGTGTCAAAGCTCAGAGAGAATGTTTAAGTTGGTCATTAACATGTTTAGCTACAAACTATTATGGACCTTTCCTACAAAAAACACCAGTAAAGGTAAATACTAAATATAATTTAAAATGTTCAAGGTCAGTGCTAGTAGGAAAACAAAATACAGAAATTTAAATGATCTTAGACGTATTCCCTATGATTTTTACTGAAGTGAACCAAAGTCGATTGAATGTAATAGGTTGTCTTTAATGTTTATATTCTTATGGCAAATAGTTTCCAAAGCATTAAAATATCTGTATAAATTTAATGATCTATACGATACAAAAAATGTAATTGAGATTAAATTAAAACTTTTGTTTATATATTGCAGGTGTTTGTAATGGTGTTCTTCTTCATATTCTTTATAATTGGAATATGGGGAACAGCTCAAGTTAAAGATGGTTTAGATCTGACAGATATTGTACCCAGAGATACTCAACAATTTAAATTTCTGGAGGCACAATCAAAATATTTTGGATTTTACAATATGTATGCTGTAACTCAGGTATGTTTTCTGTTTATAATCATGAAACAAGATATTATTAAATATGTTAGTTAGTGTTAGTTGTATTTTACGTCCGCTTCCACCGAGGTGATATCGCAGACAAGTTAAATATGTATAAACTTTATCCATTTATAATGTCAACTCTGATGCAATATACACTTAGAGCATGCAATATTTATGATTGTAATATACACTCTTTAATACACAATTTGAAAACCACAATATACACTTATATCAGATATATTCACTCTTACTATAATACAGACTATATAAAATGTTTTTATAATATCATCTCTGATGCAATATACACTTATTCCCAATATGCATTGATTAGACATATGGTACACACTTGAATTTAAGGCCTCACAAAATCAATGTCTTGTTTCTCGGGCAACTGACTGCTGAAAATGTAGGAGGGGAGGGCAGCTTCTTTTTCTTTTTATCTCAATGCTGGCTAGAGGATGGTGCAAAAAGTGGTACATAGGGCCTATTGGGTGGTAGACTTAATATATGTAAACGCTGTAAAAGCCTGTAGCTCATTCAGCACACAGATAACTATCTACTCTACTTTGAGAATAGATCTCTGCCCTGAATGGCCACCATGTCCAAAAATTAGTATATTGTTTTGTAATGTGGTCCTACTCCCTTTCACATTTGTCATACACACAAAGACTAATTAAAGCTTTTCAGTTTCATTAAATGGAAGCAGAATAAATACATCTCAAAATTTTTGAAGTATACATAGTGTTTTCGACTAAAATCGTCAATTTAGGACTTAAAATGTCGGTCAACTAGCTTAGTGTCGGTTCTTAAGCTATTTGTACACAGTCAGCGTAAACTTAGTATGCCCTGTGGCTAAGTAAATGCGTGACCACGATTTCCGTTAAGCATGTGCATAAGAGTGGGTTGTTTCTTAGGTGAAGTTATTCATTCAGTCATGACAAAGTAAAGCCAGTTTCTAACTAACACCTCGATATATGTATTCAAATATTGTTGTCAACAATATTCAGTGTGGACGAATTAACTTCTATTTCATCAGGAGAGGTAATTAATATCATGTGATTCAAAAATGGTGGCTATTTCAATATCGCTAATAAAAACCTGTAAATATGTATTTTCATCTAAATGAGTTTAATACACTTAAATGGATATACATGTATGAGGCATGTAGGTACATGCAGCATATTTTTTTATGAATTGCGTATCAGTGGTGTTAGGTGGGCATTGTGTATATAATTTTTTTCATCAAGACCATTAAAAAGACTGCATGTGCAACCATTTTGGGGTGCCTGAGAAACAACTTATTTTATCTTTGCTGCCTAATATACACACTTTGTTACCAATTTGAAATATGCTTTATCAGAATACACTTTTATGCATTATATCCACTCTTACAGTCTTACTATGGTGCACCCTTTATTGATATCTACAATATACATGCTTTATTTAATACATCTACCTTGTTTAAAATACATTATATCAGTATGTAGATATGTTTGGTATACACCTAAATCACAATACATAATCTGTATATACAATTATAATGTACATGTACCAATACACCCATCCTAATATACAATCTATATACATCTATAATATACATGCACCTACATTATATCAATACACACATCCTAATATATATCTATATATCAATCCAACGTTTCGGGTGCAATACCCTTTTTCAAACAAAAGAGATGACGTCACAGGATTTTTAAATTTATTAATGTACAATGATTGGTTTGAAAGAAAAGAAACCAATCATTGTACATTAATAAATTTAAAAATCCTGTGACGTCATCTCTTTTGTTTGTATATGAGGCGTCACAGGATTCACAAAAAATCATTCTTGAAAAAGGGTATTGCACCCGAAACGTTGGATTGATATAAAGATCATTTAAATCTACAAGTCTGTTGTTGGTTCCGTTTGGCGGGGATTCTTTAATTTTATCTATTCTACTACTCCGCCCCGCCGGCATCATTTTTTGATCCAGATCCTACGCAGATGTACCAGCCTGTCCAGCTTTTCTACGTATTCAAGGGAGTGTTGCCGTACCCCTCATCATTTTCCATATATCTATATGTACATCAATATATACATCTATAATATACATGTACCTACATATGTAATACACACCTCTGTCCTGATATACAATCTATAATATACACTGCTTATAAACACTGGTCATTTTCCACATATCACTATTTGATATACTGATACACATGTACAAGATATAAACACACTCATTTATATGTCTCGTCCTTCTATCTATTGTTTGTACATATATATCTAAAAAAAAAAAATAATTATCCTTATTATTCCACTAATCACATTGTAAATATTCTCACTATGTATATATAACATGTAATTGTCTGCGCTATCACTTCGGTGGAAGCGGATGTAAAATACAATTAACTAACAACAACTATTTCTCATATTCTTCCTTCAACTCAATTAAGAAATGAAACATTTGCTGATTTATTAATATTTTAAAATATATTTACAGGGAAACTTTGACTATGCCAAGAAACAAGATTTATTAGATAAATATCATGACAAATTTCATCAAGTGACACAAATCATCAAGAGAGAGGATGGCACTCTACCCACATTCTGGTTAGACATTTTCAGACAGTGGTTGCTAGGTAATTATATGAACTAGTCAGTTGAATAACAGCTTTATGGATAACATTTACCAGGTTTATTAACTGCAACATTTCAATGAGGATACTCTCAAGCAATGATACAATCAAACATGTTTCAGAAGGTTATATACAAACGGGTAACAATACGCTAATTGACAATTAAAAGACATATATAATTGAAGACTGTATTAGTGTAATATTTGTTACCATAGGGTCCCATTCTCAATGTTCGAGTGATCACGTGCAGTACATGATGAATGTAGAATATGATCATACAATACATGGAGTATTTTCTATGAAATTAACGTGTTGATTAATTAATCTTGATTTGTAAAGCATCAAATAACATTAAAAATTTACTTGAAATGCTAAAGTGTGTCTTTTTTTTGTTTTCAGATCTTCAGAAATCTTTTGATGATGATGTGACACATGGTTGCATTGTTAAAGATAAATGGTATCACAATGCAACAGATGATGGCATCTTAGCCTATAAATTATTAGTACAAACAGGGAATTTAGATAGACCCAATGATAAGGAAATGGTGAGTATACATTAGTTTCCAGTGTAAAGTAAGTAGTGGTGGCATGAACCTTCTGCTGGGGAATCTTGGTCCCAACACTACTTTAAGAAGATCGTATCTCCATTCTATGTAACTTAATTTTTGGAGTTAGATTTTTGAAATGTTCTTGGTTGATAGTTTGTCTTTTTTAATTAAAATGGAATTCATTTTACTCTTCATTCAGATTTTTAAGAATCGTCTAGTCAATGAGAAAGGGATTATTAATCCTGATGCTTTCTATAACTACCTCACAGCCTGGGCTGCAACTGATGTTATTGCTTACACCTCCTCCATGGCTGACTTTAAACCCGAACCTAACTCATGGCTTCATGACCCGTCTGATAATGATTTAATGGGTAAGTATTTAAAGATGGGTATATAGCTTTAATTGAACTAAGATTATGAATATGCTGTTATAAATGTTTAAAGAAATTTACCAAGATCTGATTCAAAGCCATGGACTTAATCACAATAGAAAAATGTAATTTTGGAATTTTCTAGCTTCATATCATTTTATTTTTTGCTTTGTTTATTTTTCAGTACCAAAGTCACAGCCTTTGATTTATACTCAGATTCCTTTTTATCTTACTAACCTGTCTAATACAGAAGAAATAATATCTTTAATAACTGTAAGTAATACATTATTCTGTATATTCTTTTAAAAGTCAAATAACTGTTATCTCATATAGCCAGTCATTTATCAATTAAAGAATAATGTCTTTAAAATTGTTGTTTTTTTTTTTTGTAGGAAATTCGATCTATATGTGATATGTTTTCCGAAGAGGGTTTACCAAACTATCCTAGTGGGGTTCCCTTTACATTCTGGGAACAGTATATCAACCTACGTTTCTATATGATGTGGGCTATTATCTGTGTTTTACTGGTCACTTTCTTTGTAATTACCATCACTCTGATGAACCCTTGGTTAGCTTTTATAGTGGTAAGTACTCATTTTTGACTCGGTGGCGGTCAGATTTTAAATGTGTCTTTTTACTTTTAACACAACTGGCTGTATCTAGTTGATAGGACATTTTATCGCAGTTTGTTATTGGAAAGGTAAAAATGTTATGACAGATTACGGTGAAAGAAAAATGACATCCTGAAATTGCAGTCAGTGAAAAACTGTTGTAACTCACCAAAGATGTCTGCGATAGCTAACTTTTCTCACAGCTTACTGATGGTGGCAGAACCATACATCTTTTGATATACAATGTATGTCTAGTTACAAAAACAAAGTTTGAAGAGTTAATGGAGATTTTGTTTGAAAAACTTAAATTGGCATGTTTGTTTTGTGTTCTGGACTATATATCAAATATCCTCCTTAATATAAAAGTAAAATTTCTACATCAAGAAAGTTGTAGTGTCTCGTTAATTAGATAGAAACCACCAGTTGACATATCAAACTTGAGGGCTAGCCCATATAAAAATACCTAACAGGGTGTGAACTTTACCTTCTGGGAATGTTATGGATGTTGAAGGGTGTTGACAAATATATGATATGTTGGTTGATAACTGTGGCTTCCCCCACCCATGGTATTTTTAAATGGAATAACCCTGACATACTGCAGATAGTAGTTAAGAAGCCTATATGTACATACAATGTATATTAAATTTGAAATATCAAACACATTGGATTTCTTAAAAGTTGTTGAGTTCATTTCTATTGTTGCATCAGGATTTATCCACCTGAATAATATTTCCTCCACCACTATACAATTGAAAATGAAATTGTTTTGGTATTTTTGTTTCCAGGTAGTAACACTGAGTTCCATCTTGGTGGAGTTATTTGGTTTTATGGGTATTGTTGGCATCAAGCTCAGTGCTGTTCCTGCAGTAATTCTGATAATGACTGTTGGAATTGGTATAGAATTCACACTACATATGTCAGTGGTAAGAATCATTCTTTCTACATAATTCTTAAAACATAAAATCCAAATTTGGACATTCTTTTCAACTTCCAACTTGCCACCGATATACTTTTTGAAATCCAACACACATGTAGATCAAGGTTTAAAGATTGTTGAAATTATCAAACATAGATTGTAAATTTTTCTCCTAATGTATGAATTTTTAGTATATAAACATGTTTATCCAAGTTTCTTTTAATACAATATTTTTACTAGAATACCATTTTAAAAACACAAAAAGTTGGAAACATTGATACATTATTAGATTCTGTTCAGATTCTAATTACTTCATGTGCAATATCTACATATATATAGATTTTAATTGGTATTCTTTCCTTTATAAATTTATAGTTGTGGTGTTTGAATCAATGTTTTGTATTTAAAAAATAGAAATATCAATATATTGTATTTAAAAAAAAATAGAAAAATCAGTATATTGTATTTAACTCAATACATCGTGTTTAAACAAAATAAATCAATGTGTTTTAATAAAAGTCCATATTTTTTGTTCAATTAAAATCAATATTTGTGTTTAAACCAATATCTGTGTTTAAATCAATATTTGTGTGCTAGAATAAATATGTTATATTGATATTAATGTTATGTGTTAAATTTAAATTGATAATTGTCTATTTATCCTTGCAGGGTTTTATAACTGGTATTGGTAACAGAAATCGTAGAATGATGTTGTCATTACAGCATACCTTTGCTCCAGTTATTCATGGTGCTATTTCTACTTTACTTGGAATTATTATGTTAGTAGGAGCGGAGTTTGACTTTATTGTCAAGTAAGTATTTCAGTTAATTACACTAAAAAAATTATTGTGAGCTGTTTTAAAGAGGCATTATGTTAGATATATATAGATAGTTCAAAAATAGATAGTAATAAATGAAAATACTGTCCAATCCACTCAATATCTAAACCACCCAATGGTCTAGAGAGTTTATTATTGGCTTATTATGTGAATAAATGGCTAAATAGAACATTTGTAGATAGAAAAAATACCTACAATAGGCTGATTTAGCTCTTACATAATGCCTCTTTAAGTTTGAAGTAAGGTGTCATATTTATTTCATTCTGGTTTTATATTTGGTGGTCTATCATACATGAAGACCTGAATATTTGAACACAAACTTCCTGAAGATGTTGTTAGATCTTACTGAAACAGAAACAAAATTAACATCTAAAAGTAGGAAGATGCAGTCAGTGTTCACAGGATCAGAAATGGACGTTCTGTTCACAGGTTTATAATCTTCCCTCAAATGATCATCCTCCATTCAGCATTTAAACAGACAGCAATAATTTCTTGATTTTGTTATTTCTCTTATACATTATATTAAATCTCCTACTATACAACAAAACCAAATTGAAATGGCCAAGTGAATACAAAGCTGTTAACAACAAATACTTTCCACAACAACGCCTGTTGCCCACTTGACTGATGCTAAAAGAGTCTGATTTCAAAATTATTTGCAAGATGATTATTTATTATCTATAAACAATATTCATTTCAAGAATATTTGTTTCAAGAAAGCAGTTTTTGACTGCCAAATATCGTACTTGGGGAAAGTGTAACTTTATTGAACCACACATTTTTTATGTTTCCTTATTTCGCTCCTGCGAAAAAGAACATTAAATCATGGAAAACCAACAGTTAATACTGAGGGGATTAAACACAGACATGATCAGTAAGCTACTGATCAGTGTTTTCTATGTGTGATTATTGTCACCAATATCAATATTATACAATCTGTTCTTTTGTTTCATCAAACATGGTTCTAGTATCAGTCAACTGTAGTCTTAATATGTCTGCCATTTTAGCAACAAAAACCCAGTTGTTTTATTAATGAATTTAAACTTGATCACCTTTAAAACACATTCTACTACCAATCACCTTCACCTTCCAAATAAATTAAAACCTTTGGATTTTATTTATTATTTTCAAGTCTCAGAGCTCATTGTATTTTTCAACTTTTTCTCTACCAAAACAGCATCTTTGATTGAAGTATAATTTTGTCATGACTGGACTAGATTATTTTAAAATGATCTACTGAATTTATTGTAATTCGATTGGACTACACACTGTTTACAGCACATATTAGATTCACAAGAATATTAACTGCAGGCAATAATAAACACTATCAGTGAATTTTTATCAGTTCTGACTTGATGTATGATGATACGTGTACAAGTTGTAAAAACTTTACATTTTATTAAACGATTCCAGAATTGCTTCTGGTATATCTACAATTATGGCTATGTATTTAATCTCTTAAATTTGGCGTTTTTCATGTTCAAATGTGCTCATCATAGTCTTTCATCACTGTTGTGTTTATTCAGCCCACCCAGTATGTTGGAAGGCAATATAAATGGGCTTTATATCTGCTATTTGGATATATCTTACTTCCAGTGTTATTCCTATTATCTTTTTTCTGCAAACACAGTAATCATTTAGATTTTATTAGTTAATGTGTTTAGTTTGCCAGCCTATCAGTGATTATCTTCTCCAGGCAAGGGTGGCCTTAATGCTTGTCATTTGGTGATTTTGTCTTTGAAATATACATGCATATTGCATACATACATAAAAGACATACATAAGACATAGGGACTAAAAAGATCAGTAAAAATAGTCTGGAAAATAAGTAAAGATACAGTAAGGAATAGAAATAAAATTAAAGACCATACACAATCAAAAGTACCTCTTTTTCCGCTAGTTAATCACAAAGTCTGCAGTACATTTAAGTATCTCATAGTCACAACCTCAAGCCATTCGATCAACAAAACCATAAGGTCCCTACATCATTCAAGAACACAGCAAGAGACTGGCTGCCCATTAGTGATCCCCTTAAGTTTTTGTCCTGTGCACACCTCATGGATGTTTTACAGGGAAACCAGTATTTATCTAGTAAGATAAGGTGTCTCTACATTCCATATACATGTATACCAAATTTGCCATTCCTTTATTGCAAATAATTACCCTTTAAATACTTTTGACCCTTTCGTGGGAATGTATCTTAAGTTATTGTAAATTGAAGTTTACATTGATGACTATTTGAATTCCAGTAGCCATCTTTAGTCTTTTTAACATTAAAAAATTAAGTGTTGTACTTTTATGTAATTCACATAACTATCATAACCTGAACCATATGAAATAGAATCATTATGTAAGATACTTTAGTTTCAATTAATTTTTGTAGATAAAGTGATGATTTATATATACCAGTATATTATGTAGATCATTTCACGGAATGTTCTAGGAGATAGTAACACGATATCTACTGACAGTATCATTTGCTTTCATATTTTGAGTTATGTTTTAAGGTTATTGGTGGTGTGATCATAACCATACAGTAATAAGAGTCTCCATCTGTTTTTTTTAGGGGAAATATTTTCTATGAAACATTAAAATGACCAGCATGATGTTGTCAGAATTGTTGAGTCACAGTTCAACTGTATAGGAAACATCTGTCTCATTCAGGAGTTGGTCCAAAGGCTATATTTTTCTTTGTATTTACGCCATTTCGGCCATTGTACTAAAAGAGGTAGAAAGTTTATTACTCGACTATTGAAAGCTTTTAAGAAAATGTCAGAAATAAGAAATAATAATACAATCTCAGTGCAGTTGTTAGCTAACAAGTGGGTGGGACCAAATCCCATTATTTAAACATATATTGTAAGCATTGGGGGCTACCTAGACAAAATGTCAGGGAGAAGCAGATAGTTGTCAGATGTAGTAAAGTAGGGAGTGGCCACCATTTCTCACCACTGCTGTGTCAAGGTAGAATTTTTTTATAAAAAAAAACCAAACAATCCTGGGTGACTGTTCTGAGGCGTGGAATAGTATTAATTATATCAACAATTTTTAATAGGTAGATGAGTAGCGTTGAGCTACGAAGTAAAATACTAGAGTTGTTAAATTCTGTGATGGTCTCTCTCTATATATATTACCTTTAATTCTGCGAGACGAACAAAAGTACCCTATTGAGAACCATCCAAGCTGATAATAGCCTTTATTGTGTTGTATAGTCAGGCCAACTCTGAATAGAGAGAGGGAGATTGAGATCCAACACTTCAGCTATAGAAAATAGAGGATCGCTCAACCCAATAGACCACCCAAGTGCATGTGGTGTGGAATTTCGTTCACCTAGGCCTAAACATACACTTCACTAGCTGCCATTTTCATCAGGGTCATGAATGGCTCTGCAAAACAACTTATTTTTCTCTAGTTAATTTAGAGCAGATTAAAAAACAGAGATATTCTTGCTCAAATCCTTTACTTAAATTGCTTAATAATTTAGAAGTTAGGAAAAAAAGAGAAACTTTTAAATATTTTTTTTCCTTTGTACATGAAGGTTATTCATTTAAGCCATAAAAAGAGATTCATATCATGGTGATATACCTCCATGATATAGAGTTTATAAGTAGATGTGGATATGAAAGTATTTTGTCATGTCAGTAGAAATTTAGGACATGGTAGCAATGGTGTTCCTTTAAACCTGTTATGAGGAAACGATTTCTTTTGTAATTTGGATAGAAATTCAGAAAATAAAATAACTTTTTTTTCTATCAGATTGTAAATACATCATTAACCTTTAAAGAATTTTCTTTAGAATGTTAAATATTAGAGTACTTTACACTACTGTATGTTGCCTTGGTGTAGAGTGGGATGCAGATTTTACCTTTTTGTGGCATAGGAGGATGAAAAGGGACAAAGTAAAGATCCTAGTCAATTTTGAATCATTGCAGTAGATTTGATACAACATCTTTTTGAGATTTTTTTTTTTCGGGTGGTTGATCTCTGACGATTGAGGGGGGAAGTTTACTGAGAGAAAAATAAAGCTAGTAGAAAGGTCAGTGATGTTGGAAGGTAAACAGTGAAAGAACTCCAGCAGATGTGTTATCGAGATTGATAAAATTCCTCTTGATATTGTCAGTTAACTTGATGACTTGAAATCACAGGGTTGTGTAAATATTAACACTGTTATTCTTGTTTATGACATTAGTTTCATTATGTTCTTACACCGGATCCAAAGTTTTAATCAAATCTAGGTTGATCTAGTAAATGAAATGAAATGAAATGGTGTTTAACGTCCTACTCTTCTGCACCTAACCTGGGCTAATTGAAGACGGGCATACGCCATATAGTGTGCTATGAGGGAAATTTTGCCTGGGCAGCAGCGCTACGGCCTACTCTTATATAGAATTCCAACTGCCAAGGGATCTTTTACGTGCACGCCAATGTGTACACGGGACCTCGGTTTTTCGTCCCATCCGAACGACTAGGCAGCTGTCCTTGTCAGATCCTCCGTTCTGCATCACTGACAAGGGGAAACCACGCCGGAAAATCGAGATGAACTTTCTCGGCCAATGCAGGGATCGAACACCCGACCTCCAGGCTAGCGAGCCAGCGCCTTACCCACTTAGCCACGTGATCCCCAGGTTGATCTAGTGTCTGTATTTATATTTATATACATACATATAGATAGATAGGTTTGAATGTTGAAAGATTAAATATGATGAGTTCAGAGTTGATTGTAAATTTGGAGAATTTTGAAATAGAAGTATAATTTCTGGTATCTATTAATAACTAACTAATCTTTAATATTATTCAATGTCAGAAATTAAGACACTCCAAAACATTCTAGTTAATTAGGATGATGTATGTTTTCTGGTTTCTTAATCAGAAAGAGCTGATGAGTATTAATTGTCACGTGGGTGGTATCAACATGTCGAATTCTCCATCCTTTTCTTCTAAGGAAACACAAGATGAGAGAACTATATAATCAGGGCAGGAAGCCAACTGGGGCTATTTTTAGCAGACGGTAGCAAGGCTTCAGAGAGAGTAAGCTGGCACTGGCTAAGGCTAGATTGCCTGATGGCATTTATACTGCTATTAATGTAAACCAGTTGTGTGGTCCCGACTGTAGTCAAGGAAGAGATGAATCTTTCTCTAAATAAATAACTGGGCTTATGTTTACCACTTCTGACTGGAGTTCGGTTCATATCAATCGTATATCAGTATATTCATCATCTAGCTTTCTTCAGCTTTCACACACTCACCTCAACTGTAGGTCTGTTGTGATGATTAAAACGTGAGATAATCAGTAAGATATTGAAACTAGCCATCTGAAATGCTAACTTTGTGGTCTTTAACATACATACTTGTATTCCCTGTAGATGAATAAGAAAATAAAAATGATATCTTTCAAACTTGGTTAGGAGTGGGAGTGTGGTTTAGACATTCATGTAGAGATACTCAGAATATAGAATTTCGTAAAATGGCAATTATAGAAAAGAAATAAAAATAGATTGTCCACGTTATAAACTTTTAACAAATGGTACAATGATTACAACAAAAGACATTTTATTATTCTCTGAATTTGATCTATCCATGTACAACACATATTTGAAATACAGTACTTAAACAGAACAAAATTATTTAAAATATATTAAAGTTTATATTTTGAATAATAACTAAAAAAAAGAGCAGATGTAATATTGGTTTCCATATAACAGTGAAGGCAAATTTCTAAATGCAAACCTCTGTATATTTTCAGGTATTTTTTCAATGTGTTAACAGCTTTAATTGTAATCGGCCTAATGAATGGTTTGATTCTACTTCCTGTATTATTATCTATACTTGGACCAAATGGAGAGGTGAGATATGTAAAATCATTAATTGACATAGACAAGTTATTGCATCATTTACTGTATAAATTCTGTCTTCATTTAAGGGGAGGTAACTCTTCTAACTGAAATTTTTATCCAGTTGCACTTCATCTGAATAAAAATCTATGAAAATTACACTTAATCTGTAATTATTGAAATATTTCATTTAAATTCCATTGAAGTTTTTACGTTTGTTAGTTCAAATTTAATTCAGTACAAATCCAGAAATAGCCTTAGGAACATAGTTAAATTCATTTCTAATGTTTACTTATGACTATATATTTTATGTCTTAATTATTTTTGCATTCAAGGTTATCCCAAAAGACAACCCAAATAGACTCGCAACACCATCCCCAGAGCCATCACCAAAAATAAGAGCTAAACATCACAAAACGGGTGGAAGGCGCATTTATCCAAGAAGAATGTCTGATTTATCGTTGTCAACAATACCAGAAGAATCTACACAATATCCATCTCATGAGATTATCGTACAGCCAGAGGTTGTCGTGGAAACTACCATGGGTCCAAATGGTAGTCAGACAACAACAACAACAACGACTATACCCTCTAGTACAACTGTTAACAGTAATCCCCAGTATAAAAATGTAAGTAGTGCTTTAAATATAGCAATGATTTAAATAAACTGAAATTCCATTAGGCTTACTGTTGTAATCGATTGAGTGGGCAAAGTGTTTTGAGTAGCTGGATTCTATTTTTAATAATTAATATATTAAATAATACTTTTGGAATATTCTGTGGTCTGTCATGCTGCATTGTAAATCCATGTCATGCTTTAAGGAGAAGGAAAGTCAACCTTCTGATCGCTAAAAGCTATTTTGAAGACACTAAGGTACCCATAGTCCGATTGTATATTATAGCCAACTTTTGGTTTGATGCAATGCTTGAATGTGACACAGAGTAGGGACGCTTGTTTAACCATGGTGTTTTCTCGCCGGATCTCAGACTTCATTCCACACACATTTGCAATAAAAAATTCCTTATGTTAGTCATAAAATCATCCCAATTTAGTAGACTTTGCAGCTTACCTTTACATTTTATTATTTCAGAGTTCCCCTCCTTCCCCGTCATCATCACGACACGTAACCAGGGTAACAGCTACAGCAACAGTAAAAGTAGAAGTTCACACACCTTTACCAGGTAAAGTTATATTTAATTTAAATAATTCTTGTAAATTTCAAAATGTTCTTCAATATTTCTGAGAAATTAAGTGGTTAAAGAAAAATGTCAATACAATATCTGCTTGAAGATATAATGAATTAATCGTTTCTTTTCTTAACAGGTTCAGTGAATCAAGAACACAGTTTTAAAAGTAAACGAAGAAAGTTGAGAGAAAAAGAAAAACTTGAGCCTGAACCAGTAGAAAGTTGTAATTCAGACTCAGATGGAAGTAACAAATCATAATATATTGTAAGTTTTTATTTTCTTAATATGCGACAGTGTTTCCTTTATCATTAACACAATATTACCATGACTAATAAAACATTAGGGAAATAGAATCAGATGTGGATCTTTTTCTCCCAGACTGCCAGATAACCAAGAGAAATGTATAATAGATAAATCAAAAATCCCAACTTACATAGTGCAAACAGACATCAGTTGAATAGAGTGGCGGTTTATTATATGATCAGTGTTTAAGTGATGAATCTGATTTGATCCAACAGCCACACTAATATTTTTAGGGAGTGTTGTGGAACACCCCCCCCCCCACCCCCGCTCACCTGTCAGAAATATGAATATGAATTTATCTGTTACAATAATGATAAATTTTTTAATTGGATTTAAGATTTTGAAACCTTTCTGACTGAGCATTATTTTTTTTTTATTATTTTCAGGTTAATAAATATTCTCCAAAGTGCCAATGGTATTCATATATACCTTCCATCACAATGTATTACTGTATATTATGTGACTGCAAAACGGCAGCTGAAGCCAAAGACATTGTAGTTTATCTACTATAAAATGCTGTTCGAACGGTGTGATAGAGACACACAACATATGGGCACTGGATATAATGTTACATGTTTATGTGCAGAAGATAAATGGCAGCTATTTGAGAGACTCTGTGAAAGAAATCAGTATGGTTGTTTCAAGGAATTCTATATCATGCAAGAGATGTATATTTATGATACGTACCATTACAGAATTTCACTCCTGAATGGATTGTGGTTTCGACTTGATTCATGGATGTTCATTGGCTGATATTGATATCACTAAAAGTGCTTTAAGTGGGAGACTCTCATTGGCCAGTATGTTATATTGTGATGTAGTATATAAATATATTTATGATAATTTGGTGCATATTTTTCTCTTCTTGTGCTATAAAAGATGAAGAGACTATGTTACAAACTTACCTGTCATGAAGTAAAGACATAGCCCATTATATGAATAAAAACTAACCCGTGCAAATTGTGATATTTATTAATGAAACCCAAAGGCATTTAACAGAAAAAAGGACATTTGTATCAGTATGTTGCTGTGTACTGGTATGGTCTATTTGGCATGAACTTTTACTGTGAACACCAAAATACAGAGAGAATGTTCACAAAGGACTAATATTTTTAGTTATTTGTCATTTACGGGTAACCTGTGGGTTTGTGAGAGATGTGCTTGTGTGCAAGAGATATGATGTATGTTTTTGTTATATGTCCAGGGTCTTATATTAAAACATTTTAGTCAATAGTTATAAAATTCACTCAAAAATCCTTTATTTATTGATATGTTATTTTATTTTTTTTTTCACCATTTTTTATTTTTCAATGTCCACGGTCGATATTGGAAAATACAAAATGGTGCTCCAATATGATGCTCTGTTTATGAAATCTAGTTTATACCAAACTAAAAAATGGACTAATATTAACTACCTCAAGTATTTACCCTTAAATGAATTGTAGTCTTTTCACCATTACTCTTAATTTTGTGTATAAATGTAATGAACAATGTACTTAATTAGGGCAAAAAAAAAATATATTAAATGTTTCAAATATTCTCCCTGTTTTTCACTTACATGTAATTAATGTTTATTTATATTTAGATTAATCATGAAATAATCAATTTAAGCAAAAATCAGAGCATCATGATTGTTGCACATATTATTTTTTTTCTTTTGAAGTTTTGAAATGAAGATGTATTTTATTATTTGTGAATATGTAAACTATTGTAAGTAGTAAAATAAAAATGTTTTATCTAATATAATATTTGTACAAAGGAAACAGATGTATATATTGTTATAATGTCAATTAAAATGCAAAATGAAAGCCAGAAACCAACTGCAATGAATCTTGATTCAGAGCCAACCTTTTTTCATTCATTCTATAAGGCTTCAGTTCTTTTTAAGCGGGTAATCTTTTATTATGAATATTAAATTAACTTTACTTCAGATTGTCCATTTATTCTGCCAAAATTCAAACGGTGCATACTTATATTATGGATGTAATAATACATAACAGTAGGCCTAGTAGTTTAAGATTTATCATATTATTGTAAGTTTGTTTTTTTTTAAATAAGAAAAAATAATTCAATGTACCATTACCTCAAAGAGAGTTTATATCTTATAAAGAGATACCAAACCTTTTGTATTATAATGTACTATTTAATATCTGTTTTTAAACTGCCTTAAAGCTTAATACCAAAGATATTCAGTCCGTTTTAACAAAGCCTTCTAATATTTTGTTTTTCTAGATAGAAACTAAATTTATTTTATGGTTCTCTTTTTTTTTTCTTTTTCTTGATTTATCACTGGTTTGTAAAAGTTAAAAAATTTGTTAGGTCAAAAGATTTTAAGATATTTTCATATTTCACACAATTTAAGACAAAATTTATAAAATTATTATTTTACTCACCTAGAGAACAATATCAAAAATTCATTATTTTTACCTTTAGTCATTTATGGATGGTGCAAGGTATCTGAATTGTAAAGTAAAGAAAGCCTGTAGTGTAATATATATGAAACCAGTGATAAACTACAATGCCAAATAATGGTCCCATTTTCGTCCTATAAACCTCAGGGTATAGTGCTTTCTGTTATTTGTTTTATTGGTTTATTAAGTATGTAGATTTCCCTGGCTTACATTTCATATTATGTATATGTAGATTTTTAGTTATTTATGTTTGGGGTAATATGTCAATATTTCTTTTTTCAATCAGGGGCAGGGTGAAAGAAAAAAAAAATCATTCAATAACCCATGAACAAGGACATTCATTAAATTGTAACCTATATTAAAATCCTAAGCACTGTATTTATTCATTTTCTGGTCCCAGCATTTTGACAATTAAAAAAATGATTTTAGTAAATATCATTCTCAAAATATTAAAAAAAAAAACCCAAAAAACCCAATATTCAGTTAGTATTCGGCTAAGCTAATTGTAACAATAGTGTGATGTTCAAAGACATAATTTTTAACGAATTCACAGTAATGGGATGGGTTATAGGGGAAATTCTTGTATATGGTGAGTTTAAAGATGTGATAAGCCAAGGTGTATAATACTCGTTAAATCTTGTACAGTGTAGAATATAGTATGTGTATGGTGTTAAATAAAACCCTGATTTAAAGAGAAAAGTACAGGGCTATAAATTGTCTATTGAGTATAATAAATAAAATATAAAACTATTCACATAATCTTATCTACTTTTTGTCATTCTTTTTTGGAAGAAAGCAGGAGAATTTTAAAATGGGTTTGTCGTGGGTCTGGCTGTCAGTCACACTCTTTGAGACACAAGGTTCATAATGTAAATGTGTTGACTGAGTTCGATGATTATCGATTATCTGGACAAATTTCTCAGCATAGTGGGTTGTCACTAAACTTGGAAAATTATGATATTTCTTGTTATTCAGTTAATATAATAAACCATCTTTGAAAAGGTGCCCATTTATTTTATCACAGTAAATTTCAGTTGCTATCTTTTGTCAATGTGAAATTCAAAATATACTTTTCATCAATGATTCAAATGAATTGCTTAACAAATGAATGTTAAACATACATTATGTAAGAGCTAAATCTGCCTATTGCAGGTCTTTCTTTAGGCCTGAAATTTTATCTAAATTATTGATTAGACATTGATTAACTTATCCAGACCAGAATCAACTCGCGATGTCATCACTAGCCTGCAATGATTATTGGATTAGGTTCCGATTTGCTGTTCGACTTCCATTCATAATTAATCATGAAATGGATAATCAAGACTATGTTTTTTATCGTACTGACTTTAGTAATGATAATCGAGGCTAGGCAGGAAATTAAATCGCTAAATTCTCGGTTCAGAGTGAATCAATTTGACTGAAATTTTCAGCAAATTCCCTTTACTGCCAGCTCTTTATCTAATCTCCCATAATGTATCTTTAAGTTATATCTTTGAGAAGTATAATGTGCATCTGGAGAAGCAGGGAATAAAATGGACTACGAACATCTTTTCGACTAGCTGAGTAATTTTGAGATTTGGAATGTGGTTGTACATTGTTGTCGCTGCATTCCATCTTTCCGCCAACCCACCCTTTCGCAACTTCTTATCGTTAATCTACAGATCAAATGCCCCTCACGATCTTTGTATAGTTTTGGGGGTTCATGCACCCTTGGTCACACTAAATAATATTGTGATCGATCTATTCATTACCAATTATCATTCGACCATCTTGAAATTTATATGCATTGTTCAGATGAATACAAAAAGAATTCCAGGGGCGGATCCAGGAAAGTTTTGCAGGAGGGGATTTGCCAGGTTCCTGAGAAAATATATCTTCATTTTTAGCTTTAAATTTATATGCATCCTTCAATTTCCAGTAATTATTTCCATTGCATTTGCTCACTTTGTAGAATCCTGTGAACACTAGATCGCGATACAATTTATCACCCTATCTCATTTATTGATTTAATAACAAAAGCCATCGCCATCTTCCTTTTGTTCATCGCGACGAATAAGTCTCTAATTCCGTCAATTTGCTATAATTCTAGAGAGTAAATATTTTACTTTTTGTTTACAAATCACAGCGCAACAATTATTAAGAAATGAAATGAAATGGGGTTTAATGTCCTACTGTTCTGCTCCTACCGGGATAATGCAGACGGGGCTTACGCCATGCTGTGCGCTATGAGTGAAATTTTGCCCAGGCAGCGGCCATGGGATCTTTTACGTCCATGCCAATGTATACAAGGGATCTCGTTTTTTTGGCCCATCCAAATGACAAGACAGCTGTCCTTGTTAGTCCCTCCGCCTTGACAAGGCGAAACCAACCCTGTAGAAATGCCCCCTCCTCCCGCTCCAAAAAAAAAAGATTTGCCCCCCCCCCCCCCCCGAAAAAAAAGTTGCTGAACGGGCCTGGGTGAAACCACGTCAGAAAATCCCGATGAACTTTCTCGGCCAATGCAGGGATCAAACACGCGACCTCCAGGCTACCAAGCCAGTGTTTTATTAAACACTTAGCCACCGTGGCTCCCAATTATGAAGATCTTCTCCTTCCACTTTTGACATATGGGCGTCATTGTGTTTCTTTGCCCCATACAAACTATATCATTACTTCTTATGTTACGTGTGTAATGCAAAGTTGAAGAGAGAGAAGAGAGGGAGAGAGTTTAACGTCCACTCGACACATTCTAGGCCATTTCGGGACTAACATATGGTTCAATTTCATTTCAATAATTCGCTTGCGCGTAGGGGTCTTTAGCAGTGGGAGTACTGGGAGGAAGACGGAGGACCCGAAGAAAACCCACAAGGTTGAGGAGGATGGTGACCCTACTCCTTGTCACGTACAACCGAGGAATTGAAACCACGCCAGTTGACTCAATGACAGCGCTAACCATTCCGCCCCCCCCCCCCAACGCAAAGTTGAAGAATTTTACCCAGACAACAGTTGAAAACCGGCAAACAAGATTTGTTATTTTATTTTTTAAATATCACCCAGAGCAGGCCCGTGACTGATCTTCGATTATTCCGTGATCATTTTTTATAGTTCGCATTTTAGTGATGAATAAATAATAAACTAGATGGACACACCTGTTTCTTTTGAACCAACTTATCACATTAAACAAACTTTTACTTCACCTGACCGCTATCTGGTTTAATCACCGCCAATGATGTGTCCATTTTGCTGATAAAAGTGTCGTTTCAGAGATAAGTTTGACGAAAGTATATTATGATAAGTAGGGGATTTCAAGGTGGTCGCCACATCGTATAAAATCAAGGTCTATGTTATAGTGTCTAAAATGCGCCATATTGTGTTTGTCGGTTTGATTAGACCACCCAAATTCTCTTCTGCGTGCGACAATGATGATGGAGATCTTTGATGATGAGTTCCGTGACTAATAAAACAATATACGGCTTAAAACCACATTAACGCGTTTTTACAAAAACCTGATGAAATTTCATTTATTTCGCACCTCAACGACTACGAGAAAAAATATATAAATAAATAAAACCTGCGTTGAAACCTTATAGGAAATGAACTAAATGCATAAAATGTTTAAAACATTCAAGAAATAGGAACTGGATTGCTCTGATATGTGATTGTCTAAAAGTAGAAATGGGCGTAGCTTTATTTGCATAATGCATTATGCATTTTTTATATCTTATTATATTATGTTAACCAGCAGTTACTACAATATTTCTGTCCTTTTTTGTCAAATTTTAAGTGTAGAAACTGCGAACAATATGTGGAATTTACTATTTAATCTTGTTTGGTAGCCCACTAGTAAATCAGGGAGGTATACGGAACTTGAATCAACAAACCAAATTAAAGGAACTTTTAATATCAGAATAACGGCAAGCTGGTAGGCCGAAACCCGAGTAAAAGAACCCTTGAAAGTTGGAAATCCAAATAGCGTACAGGTGTATGCAGAGCAGAAACGTAGGACGTTAAACCCCATTTCAATTCATTTTGACGAATTCAACAACTTTTTTTTTATTCCGCAATCGATCGAGTTAGAACCACTTTTGCTGACTACGCAGCTGGTAGGGCAGTATTTATTTGTGTAAAACAAATTCATAGTCCCTCAACACATTTAATATGTTCTTGACACTTGAATAAAGTTCTAATAACATTGACGTTTACAGAGACAACAATTCAAATTGATATAAATATTTGACCACCAATCATTGACGTCATAAATATCACATACACAATATACGTTTTATATTAATAAATTTTATCCGGGGTTTTCAATTTCTCAGATTTGAAAATATATAGATGGTAGCCTATAGATAATTTCTGTGCGTCAGAGAGGGAGAAAGAGGTGATTTTGGGACCCACCTTAATGGTACAATTTATTTCAATAATTCGCATGTGAGTAGGCGAGTTTAGCATTGGGTGCTGGGAGGGGCTGTTTTCTATGTTGTTAATGAAACATAGGTTGCAAAGCAACAAAACATACGCCCACAGCAACTGAGTAGTCCATAGAGGTTGTCGGTTGTTACATATTTATTCTTTAAGTTACAATTTCATATTTTCTATGAAAGTCAAAACATAATTATTTCTATGCCTTTTGCTCAATAGGTTGTCAACTCACTATTATACGATCATAGTTTATCTTTCTCACATTAAAAATCTTCACACCGGAAATAATAACACAATTACCTCCCTTGTTTTCCTATTCCCCACCACGTAATAGCTATCTTCAAACCTTTGAATTTGAAGTTGAAAATGATATTTTTGCCAATTTCTCAACTGGCAATAGTGAATTATAGGATTAATAGGATTATTCTTCAACAAGGTAGGACTGTTTATAGATACCGTCTATTTTATGGCTTTATTTTAATACATTTTAAAAATTTAACTTAAAAATATGAAATTGTAACTTTAATGCAGGTAATGGGGTCATTCACAAGACACTAAACCAGCGGCTGCCAGGCAGGATACGCCCACAGTTTTCAAGAGATGGATAGAGAACAAGCTAAACAAAACGCGATTTTTCGTAACATCAAGGGCCATAATTCAGGAAGGTACGATCAGATATGTAAGAATAGCGACAGGAACCAATGTCTTTGGGTTATAAACATGCATTTCAAGTTTCATTAAAATCGGATCAAAATTGTGACTTCTAGAGGGTCCATAACCTCGATATACCAGGTGTTTACACTATTTGCGTAGAGGGGCGGCCATTTTGCCTGGCAGTTTTGGTCCGATTTTCATGAAATTTGAACCCAACCAACAATACAGTGTAACGGTGACATGTTCGAACATTTTTTTTTTTTTAAATCAGATAATAATTGTGACTTCTTGATGGACCACAAGCTAAAAACGTGATTTTTCGTACAATCATGGACCATAATATGCGCGAATATCGAAAAGAACCAAGATCTTTGGGTTATAAACATGCATTTCAAGTTTCATTAAAATCGGGTGAAAATTGTGACCTCTAGGGAGTCCACAACCTTAATATATTATATTTTTTACACTATTAGCGTACGAGGGGCGGCCATTTTTTCCGGCAGTTTTGGTCCGATTTTCACGACATTCGTACTCAACCATCATTAGGGTGTAACGGTGATATATTCAAACATTTTTTTTTAAATTGGATAAAAATTGTTAACTCTAGAGGGACCACAAGCTTAAAACGTAATTTTTCATACGATCAAGGGCCATATTCAGGAAGTTACAATCCGATATGCGCGAATATCGAAA